AGGGTCCAGCATGTTACTACTCAGGAAGCCCCAGCTAACTTCAGTTGCTGCTTCTTAAAGCTCTGGCTCGGTCTTGCAGCTCCAGCTCCTGCACAGTTATGAGGAGAGATGCTGCTGCTGCTGTTGCTGCTCAGTTCAAGTGATTTCAATTCCAGTCACTGAACACTCCAGCTTCTTATAGCTTTGGCTGGTTTTCAGTTAAAGGTGATTTCAGGTCCAGCTTGTAGAAATTCCTGCTTTTGTGTAGCAGTTCTGGCTTCCTACAGCTCCAGCTGATAGACATAGGCTTATTTGGGTTTCCAGTTCATTCCAGCTCCACTTTGTTGAAGCTCTATCTCCAGTACTGGATGCTCAGAAAAACAGTTTCTCCTGCTTCTTACAGTCTCTGCAGATGGACATTTTCCAGCATGTTACTGCTGAAGTTATTTGAAGTCATAGGCTAGTTCAGCTTCTGCTTCTTGAGACTCCAGCCCTACACAGCACCTCTGGCCACTGGCCAGAAGAGTGGGAGCACTGGTGGGACAATGGTTTTTTTTTTGGAGGGCACATGTACTTCCATTGGGAAACCAAAGGCTCTTGAATCCCCATACCCACTGCCTTCCCAAAAAGGCAGCCATTGACCTCCTGGGAATCAGGAGAAACCAGAGTCCAGGGTTCTAGTGACTCATGCAGGCACTGATTCATTTAATGGAATATAAAAGCCAGGCCAGCACACCATCGACCCCGTGGATCTCATCACAAGCTTTTTGTCAGCACTGGCTGCAAATATGTGCTCTGTATCCATGGGCAGGTGAGAGCAACATCATCTTCTGTCAATTCCCTTGGATGCAGAACATAAAAGCTCTTTTTGGATGGCCTGTCACAGTTATCAGCTCCTGACCAAAAGCTTGTTTGGGTTTGGATTTATTCTAGGCCAGCTCCTGCAGAAAACACTGTTGTGTGCTTGCTGGCCAGGCAGGACCAGAGGCAGAGGGAGATGTGTGAATGGATGTCCACATGTTCCCAGCTGGCAGCAAACACAAAGCCCAACCAGTGTGCAAGTGGCTGAGCAGACAGTGCAGGAGCCATGGCAGGCATGACAGGCACGGGATCAGCTCAGGCATGAGCACAGACCAAGTGGCTGAGCAGACAGTGCAGGAGCCATGGCAGGCATGACAGGCACAGATAGCTTTATGCATGAACAGTCCATGACACCATGAGCAGCATCCCATCATTTCACACGGGAATGTCCTAAAGCTGCATGCATTAGTGCCCCATCACCTTATGCACGAGTGCCCAATTTATTCAGACCTTGGTATCCAATCACTCCATGCACAGGCACTCAATCTATTGACAAACAAGCCTTTAGACAGCTCACATGAGCACCCCATTCAATCACCTTACACAGGAGCAGCTATTTCTCATACACCCACAGCACATGCATGAGTGCTGCGCTGGGCCGAAATTGCAGGGTTTGGGTCAGTGATGCCATATTCCCACCCTCTGGCACTTCTTACTGCAGGTGCTTCTCCACTGAAAATTGGCTCTTTCAGGAGCATCAGAGCTACATCCAAGGTCCCTGTGCTCGCCCAGAGGTGCACAAAGAAGCCTCCTCTTTCCCCAGAGCACTGAAGGGCTGAGGAGCGTGGGCTAGCAGGGGCCAACACACCTGCCCAGCCCCAGGAAGAGGTAGAGGTGTCTTTGCTGGCCCTGTGCCCAGCACCTGACTTTGCCTATCAGAGTTCAGCACTACCCCCATCTCTGCCCTTGCTTTCTTCCAGGGTTGTACCAGAGTCACACAATTTCTCACTCTGAGGTAAAAGAATGTTTTTCCTTACTAAAAAGGTTAGAGTGAGCTACAGAGGGAAGTCACCTTTTGAAGATTGTTTGGTTGCAAATCTCTATCCTCAAGCCTATACTGCTTTGTAAGAAAATTAGGACATTTTCTCAAAATGCTTTGCTACTCAGTCACAAACCCACAGCTTTAAGAGAGAACTGATTGTAATTCTTAGCATAGAATGAAATTTCAATGGTCATCTAAGAGAAAACCTGAAAATAACAAAATCCTGAAAATAACAGTCTTTTGCAGCAAACACATTTGTGTGAATACACTATCACCTGGCTGTTCCAGCGCTGGGATAATGGGAGGATCATGGAATTAGAAGGCAGGGAAGCTAAGCTGCTGGGATCACTGTCTGAGACCATCAGCCTGATCAAAACATGCTGCCTGTATGTAACACTGAAACCCTCCCATTCCTCCAGCAAGGAAAAATACAAGTTCTATCTCTATGTACAAAGGTTGCAACGACTATCTTACCTTACAGAAGACGTGCAGGGAACCTTGCCAACTCTAACTTCAAGCACAAAGCTTACCAGTACTTACGTGATACAGCACTTGAAGTGAAAACTAGCCCTGGGCTTCCAGAGGTGACAATCTTCCAGTGACAATCCCAGCTCAGCTACCTTTTTCCACTGCTCCTAAGCAAGGCAGCATGATGAGAGACCATTTGCCAAAGGGGACTCCTGGCTGAGAAATTGCAAATTCCAATTTACAAGACTGAAACCCCAAGGTCACTACAAAAATGTTGCTCCTCATTGCTCACAAGAGCCACAGTTGGTTTTAACTTCCCCTACACCTGGAAACCAAAGAGGTCAGCCAACACAACACTTCATTGCCTACACAGTGACAGCAAAGCTGCGCAGTGATAATGACACTGCACTGACAGAAAGCTCACAGCTCTCCTACCACAGCTAACAGGGAAGGTTCCAGATGCCTGCTTTCCAGAGACATACAATTTTTCTAATAATAAAAGCTAATCAAACATTAGTACATTACTTGCTCTCCTTGCTAAGCTGTGTGCAGCTGTACTGGACATCTGAGCAATAGCTGGGGTCATGGAACCTACCCCTGTCCCAAAACCAACTCAAAGAGAGCATTCGGGATGTTATCCAGCTGCAGGCTGAGAAGAACATTACCTAGGAAAGTTCCTCCAACAAGTCTAAGCAGCAGAGCAGAGTCTCTCAGAAGTATATACATACATACACACAGCTCAGCACGTTCAGTAAGTCAAGAACAGCAGCTCTTCAACAGTGAACAGACTAGGGACAAAAAATACATTCCTGTAGCCAAGCACATTTGAGAACTAGGAAAAGACTGAAAAATAAGAAGGCTTAATACATTTATTAGTAACTGCTGGAATGTACTGTAGAATAGGCTACAGTCTTCATGCACAAGGAATTCATGGTAAGTACTGACCAAGCATTGCAAAGCACAGGTTAATAGAAAGCTGAAACAGCATGCACAACCTCCACAGGTTTATTAAACTATTCTGAGCATGTAAATCCATTTCACATTTGTCCAACCAATCTGCTTCAGTCCTATTTAAATCCTACAAGGACCAAAATTAATATTTTAGAAAGGGACTGGAGACAGCAGCTACTTGCAAGTAGCAGGCAGGAAGCAAGTCCAGCGGATAGTTCCCTCCCTGCTCAGGGGTTAATTCCACTCCACTATGAGCAAAGCTGTCAAGAAGAAAACTCATTTTCATCTCTTACTGCAAAGGAAACAGCAGTTGCATATAGAGCATGTCATACTTCAGACACACCTTTTGCTTCTGAAGGGGCCATAAAAGCAAACGAGTACCTAATGTGACCCAGGTGGTTACAGAACTCTCTACAGAACGAACTAATAAGTTATTACATGTTCATATAGCTCTATACTTGCTAATAACAAAACACTAATTAATTACAAAGCTAGCTGGCCAGGAACCTTCCTATCCAGCTCTAGGTTTTATTACCTCTCTCAATATTTTCCCATTTAGTACCTCACCCTTCACAGCACCAGCAAACAGTACCATGACAACAGTGCTGCTGCACACGCCGTGAGGTACAACCAGGCCCTCAGACCACACACTGACATTCCCTATGGCTGTGGCTGCTTAGCATCCTTCCCTGCTGGACACCTTTTGGACATCAGGTCCTAATTCAAAGGGCAATCGAGAGACTGATCACAACTTAAGTCAACCTGACTAGAAGCAAAGTTAAAACCTTTATTATGGTAAAACTCCTTAATCTGTGTCTGAGACCAGGCAGCTTGTGCTGTTTCACATCTTTCAACTCTAACACACAAAGTACAGTCACAGCTACAGCTCTGCTCTGGACTGACCAGGAACTGGTGCTGTGATGGGAAAACCTCTGACTTGCAGAGATTGGGTGCAGCTTTCTCTCAAATATAGGGTATTTTAGAGGTTACCCTGCTCTGAGCCAGCCTGTAAACTAGCTCTTAGTACCTTTGCTTCAGACAGAATAGCAGTTTAAACCCAGTTCCATCCTCTGGAAACGAAGTTACAGACTCAGCTCATTTGCAGCAATTTGCCCACCAAGTATCTCTGTGGCATTTTTCTAGTACAACAGCAACACCCAAGTCATCAGCAAGTTCCAAAGGTAACTAAAATGCGGGGTGTGCTTACTGATTACCTCACCTGCTTCCATGGCACATTCTGCTGGGCATCTTCTAAATTGTGGCAGCTGCTAAAGATAAACAATAGATAAAATCCACACTTATTTTCTGAATCATTGTAGTCCAAAATACAGAAAATGCTTCCTTGACCTTTGTACGGACCACTCTCCTCACCGAGTCACCCAAGTCAGAAATCCCCCACCCATCAAAGTGCAGAGCATTGTTACATGCTGTGACAGAGAGTGAAGTAGCAGCCCTGCTCCATTAACACTGCCCAATTCAGCAACAGGGCACAAAGTCGGAGCTACAACCCAAGCCATCCCTTGCAAACAACCTTCCTGAAATAACACATCCAGCTGGATTCCACCTTTGTTATGTAAGGCATTTAGCAAGAAGAGAACTGGCTTTGGAAAACAAGTACCCTTTATAATCCAGCACTATCTAACTGATGCCATTTCTTCAACGGCACCACGCCAACATCCACTGTAAAACAGAGACTGTTTTTCCTGATTCAGGACTTGCACACACGTCTCTGGTCTTGCAACAAAGAGTCAACACACAGTTATACAAAAAGATTTATTAAAAAACCAGTAAGACACTACTACATCATGACACTGTCACACTGGGCTTTGGAACACAAGACTTGAGCTACAATACTGAGGAAGGGGCATAAAACAAATTGATTCTTAAGCATAGCAATTAAGAAATAAGACCATGAAAGCAATTTTTTCTTAATGAAAACTCAATTAAACTTCAGAGGGACCCAACGTCTTACTTCCAATTCATGGACTTGATACAAAAATTAGTTTCAACTGCTATTAGCAGGTAGCATGTGCCACCTCAAATGAATCTTCAAATGAGAAAATACTGCATCTCCACCTAGGAAAAAGAAAAGAGAAAGAAGTCATTCTGTGAAAACTGACAGCCAGCAGAAAAGT